CCGCGTCCTGTTCTACACCCGCATGCTTCAGTGCTTTGGGAACAGCCAGTGCCGGAGCAGTAGTGAATTTTGACGGGCTTTTCTCTGCATCGCCCCAGCCCAGAATCTTGCCGATTGGCTTGAGCCCGAGCTCTTTGACCTTTGCCTCAGATACCAGGACCAGCGCTGCTGCGCCATCGGAGAGCGGCGATGCGTTTGCCGCCGTGACTGTACCGCCGTTGGGCTTGAAGGACGGTCGTAGAGTCTTGGTCTTGGCTTCATTGAACTGTTGTCTGGTCAGCGCCGAGAAGCATTGCTCTGTCGCGAGATGCTCACATTCTTCGGCTCGTCATCCTTGTCTATCGTAATGTTTGGCTTGCCACGACCGCCACTGATCTCGATCGGGGCAATCTCAGCGCTGAACAAGCCAGCTTCTTGCGCGGCCTGAGCCTTCTTGTAGCTCCTGATGCAGTACTCATCTTGGTCTTCTCTGCTGAAACCGTGATCCGTCGCACATTCCTCGCCTTGCAAGCCCATGTGCTCCTTTTTGTACGCATCTGTGAGCCCATCCTTTAGCAGGCTGTCCACCAGCGATTGGTCGCCGAACTTTGATCCTGTCCGCATGTTTGGTAGATAGTGAGGTGCGTTGGACATGGACTCGGCGCCACCGGCTACGACGATATCCGCGTTCCCCGTCAAGATAGTTTGAGCGCCGAAAATGAGAGCCTTGATGCTCGATGCGCACACTTTGTTGACTGTAGTGCTCACTGTCGATTCGCTGAAACCAGCCCCGATTGCCACCTGTTTGGCCGGATTCTGTCCCAGGCTCGTTCATGTTAGTTCTTGTTTCAATCAGCAAGGATGACTCTCGTCGTACTTCGCCGATAAGACATTGCCGAAGAAGACCTCCTCGACATCTTCGGGTTTTATTCCGGACCTTTCAACAGCAACTGGCAAAACATGTCAGTCGTGGCCGTGATTCTACCCAAGGAAGCGGCGCAGCTGACCTTTGAAGGCATGCGATCCAAGTTGAATTGCATTCAATGACGACAATGAGCTTCATATCATCAGCCACTCTTCCACGTGCATTTGAGTTTAATATGCCTACCCCAAGAACATTCCCACCGGCGTCCTGGCCGCGGAGACGATGTAGACTGGAGCAGGAGGAGCCATTGCTGCACAAAAATAATCGGAGAGCCCAGGAGTGACGAGTGATTCAAAGAGAGACCGTCTCCGAGGCTTTTATAATATTTCCTCAACAATTCTAGCTAGTTCCTCTGTTTATTGGTCGGTCTCACGATCGTACGAGCTCATCCGGCAGAATCGCATCCCGGCCCGCCACTCCGCCTCTCCGATCACGGTCATGCCCAATCTGGAAGGCGGTGAGTCGGTACCTCTCCAAAAAGTGCTGGACCTCTGCGAACGGTTCAGTCGCGTGAAGGACGAGAGCCTGGCGTTGGTCGCAAGCAATAATGGACGACCTCTATGATGAGTAAGTCGAAGACGCCTGATATGAGTTTCCGTACTGATACGCGACTAGATTCGGGAATTATATTGGCGAGCCGGAGGAGTCGGAGGAGGAAGATGTCGCGCCCACCAATGTCCACCAGTATCTCGACGATGACGAGGAGGAAGAAGCAGAGCAGACCAACGAGCAGCAGCTGATGGAGCTGGATGGTGAATCGACTTTCTCTCGTCAACAAGGCTCGACTAATTGTGAAATAGAAGACGGCCCATCCAATGCGATCGTTCTACATGAAGACAAACAGTATTATCCAACAGCACAGCAGGTGTACGGCCAAGATGTCGAAACAATGGTTCAGGAGGAAGACACACAGTCGCTTGCTCAACCTATAATTGCTCCAGTCGTCCAGAAGAAGTTCACAGTTCAGGAGGATGATCTGCCCCCAGTGTTCTTCAGTCGCGACTTTATGTCGGATCTCATGAATTTCCCGGAGCAGGTACGAAATGTTGCGCTTGTTGGCCATCTCCATCATGGCAAGACCGCACTCATGGATATGCTCGTCACGCAGACACACGACATCAACGATCGTCTCGAGAAGCGTCAGGCCAAAGGCCGGGACGAGCAACTACGTTACACAGACACCCACGTAGTGGAGCGGGAAAGAGGCGTGTCCACCAAGTCGGCGCCGATGAGTCTGGTTCTGCAAGGTACTAAGGGAAAATCGCATCTCATCAACGTCATCGACTCGCCGGGTCATGTGAACTTCGCGGATGAGGTGGCGGCAGCGATGCGACTTGCGGACGGCGTTGTCTTGGTCGTTGATGCGGTCGAGGGCGTCCAGGCTACGACAGAACAGGTCATCAAACATGCGGTGCTCGACGATCTCCCGATAGTCCTGCTCATCAACAAAATGGATCGCTTGATTGTGGAACTTCGGTTGCCACCACAGGACGCATATTTCAAGCTGAAGCATGTCATAGAAGAGGTCAACGGCTTGATAGAGAGCACAATTCCTGGCCGAGGCGAATCAAGACGCCTTAGTCCAGAGCGCGGCAATGTTGCATTTGCCTGCACGAGCTTAGGCTGGAGCTTTACACTACCATCATTCGCACAATTATACGCAAACACGTACGTGAAAACCCCGCTGGACGTATCTGCGTTCAGTCAGAGACTATGGGGAGACATATTCTACACACCTGCTACGAGAAAGTTCACTAGAAAACCAGCCGACTACACCAGCAAGCGATCGTTTATCAATTTCGTTCTGGAGCCTATCTGGAAGTTGTTCTCGCATACCATTTCTAACAGTCCAGAAGATCTCAAATCTACACTTGAAACTCTCGGAATCCAACTGAAGCCTACACAATTGCGGTCGAATGCAAAAGACCTTCTTAGATTAGTATGCGAACAATTTTTCGGTCCGGCGACCGGTTTTGTGGATATGTTAGTGCAACATGTCCCTTCTCCTATCGAAGGCGCTCAACAGAAGTTGGATAAATTCTACACCGGCCCCCAGGACACAAAGACGGCTGAGTCAATGCTGAAGTGCGACCCGGACGGACCGCTGGTGGTGCACATCACAAAGCTCTACAGCACGCAGGATGCTGCGTCTTTCAATGCTTTTGGTCGAGTCTTAAGTGGTACGGCTAAGCCAGGGCAGCAAGTGCGTGTTCTTGGCGAAGGCTTCACGCTTGATGATGAGGAGGACATGGTGAGCGGTACGATATCTGATACGTGGATAGCAGAGTCGCGGTACAATATTCATGTCTCTGGCGTGCCGGCAGGGAACTTTGTTCTTCTCGGAGGCGTAGACAACAGCATCGTCAAGACTGCCACCATCGTCGCTCCTCAACTTCCCGACAACGAAGATGCCTACATCTTCCGACCTATCTCTCACTTCTTCGAATCAGTCTTCAAGGTCGCAGTGGAGCCCGTCAATCCTTCAGAACTTCCCAAGATGCTCGATGGACTGCGCAAAATCAACAAGTCGTATCCTCTCGTCACGACAAAAGTGGAGGAGAGTGGTGAGCATGTGTTGCTCGGGACGGGAGAATTATATATGGACTGTGTGCTGCACGATCTGCGAAAGTTATATGCCAACATGGATATCAAGGTCTCAGATCCTGTCACTCGGTTCTGCGAGACAGTAGTCGACACTTCGGCGATGCAGTGCTATGCCCTGACTCCGAACAAGAAGAATAAGCTTACCATGGTCGCTGAGCCACTGGATGACGGTATCGCCCAGGATATCGAGGCAGGCAAAGTCAACATCCGGGATCCGGTCAGAGTAGTCGGGAAGTTCTTTGAGCAGAACTATGGCTACGACTTGTTGGCGTCGCGGAACATCTGGGCTTTTGGACCAGACGATCAGGGCCCAAACATCTTGCAAAACGACACACTGCCGTCAGAAGTTGATCAGAAGTCGATCAAATCCGTGCGGGATACGATTCGACAAGGCTTCGCGTGGGCAACGCGTGAGGGTCCTCTTTGTGAAGAGCCGATACGGAACATGAAGTTCAAGCTTATGGACATTCAGCTTGCGGATCAGGCTATCTTCAGGGGTGGTGGACAGATCATCCCGACTGCGCGTCGCGCATGCTACAGCAGCTTCTTGATGGCATCACCGCGGCTGATGGAGCCAGTGTATGCATGCAGCATGATTGGCCCCGCAAACGCCGTCGGATCTTTCTACACAGTCCTCCGCCAGCGCCGCGGACACGTCCTACAAGATGTTCAGATTCCCGGCACACCTCTGACCACGGTCAAGGGCTTGATACCGGTCATTGACAGCTTCGGTTTCGAGACGGACTTACGCATGCACTCTCAAGGCCAAGCGACGGTGAGTCTCGTGTTCGACCGCTGGTCTGTTGTGCCTGGCGATCCCCTGGATGCGTCCATCAAGCACAGAGGTCTGGACCCGGCGCCCGCCCAAGCTACTGCCCGAGACTTTGTGCTCAAGACCAGGCGGCGCAAGGGTCTGGCCGAGGATATCACTATAAGCAAGTTCCTCGAGCCCGAACAGTTTAGGGACTTGAAGGAGAGTGGGATCTTGGATGGGCCTAATTGAGCTCGATCAATGCTTCTGATCCCATCGTGTATCAATAGTCGTAGCGGTAATGAATAAAAGTCATGAAGCCTCATTGCTATACAGGTGCGGTTGTTCCTGTCGCGTGGCTTATTTTGAGGGCTTCATCGGGAGAACATGTATGCGAGCTTCTGCCTCATAAGATGATATCACGGAGTGCCTCCATGCGCGCCCTAAGGAGTGCGGCGAGAGATCGCACCAAGAGATGCTCTGAGAAATTTCCTCAGAAGTGCCTTTAGAGGTGTTCTGAGAGGTGCCTTGCAAGGTGCCCTGTAAGTCCTCGGGCACTTGAGTCAGATGTGAAGACGAATCTGTGCCATGAAGTAGACGATCATTGCTTATCTGCACGCTGGGTGGGGTGGAAGGGGGGACAGGCGGGGTGGGAATTTCACGTGATATGGGATTCCAAAATTTGGAAAATGGTCGCCCAAACATATATAAACAATTTAAGCATTTGAGATTACATCAAAAGCCGTCGTAGCTCAATTGGAAGAGCGTGGGACTCTTATTCAATCGATAGATTGTAAGCAATCTCAAGGTCGTGGGTTCGAGCCCCACCGGTGGCTCAATAGATCTGCTCAGGCCCCTGTTCGGGGCGTGGTTGAGCAGAAAATTTTTGTCCCGGCCCATAACCAGGAATTCTTTTTTGACTGCTGCCCGGCCCGCGCCAAGTCCGCACGGGGTCTTCCGGCGAGGTGCGACGGTGACTGTACATGTGCCTCTGCACCGGTGACACTTTTTGTGCGCGGTCGAGGCGAATATGGTGATATCAGAACATGTTATGCGCTCCTGTCGTGTCTTTTAGGAGGGAGAGTTGACTTGAAGTCATCCCTGAGCCTTGGCCGCTATTTCGCGGTCGAGTCGGATGACTCAGCAAACCGCCATTACAAGCCTCGTCTTGTTTACTTGGAACATATCGCCTGCCCATTTTATCAATAGAGTACGTACTGGGTCGCACAAGAGTCCGATCACAACTCTCACCGGCTCAATTGGACAGACACAAATTGCAATGGAGTCACGAACAACGCAATTGCCCCTTCTGTACTGCTCAAGCCCGCAGACACCGCTCGCTTGTATTCAGCTACGTACTTCTCTCGTCCAAGCAACGTTGTCGAAAACGTAGGACTTCTGATGTACAGAACGACGCTTCTCCCTTTCACTGATTGAGCAAGAAACATCAACGCCGGATAATATGTAGCAGTAACGGTATCTTTACATCCATTAAGTACATGCAGGTCTGCCCATGCGGTGCCACGACTGCTACACTCCCATTACCCCTCACTCAGCACGTGCGGCTCCTTGCAGCTCACCACCCATGTCAATTAGTAGGTATCGCCGATAAGACCGAAGTGGCACAAACCTGGCGCCATGTACCGTCACTCATTCTAGTTCTTACTGTCCTCCTTCAATACTTTGTCACAAATGCCCGCTTTTCCATGTTGTGAGCAAGCGAGCGAGCATTCTTTACTACCTTGACGGGTAGCACGGGCAAGCTGTCTCCATAGTACCACCGCTTTGTGCGCATCTTCCGGCGCTCTCGGCAAATCGTGGTTGTACTACTTGAGCCTGGCCGCCAGACTCGCTGCACATATAGTTAGGGCGGCTGAGAAGCAAAAGGTTCCCGGAGCTTTGAGGTGTTCCCATCCACCGTTGTTCCTTTAATATCTAACCTTTGCCGATTCCGATCATGGATTCCGATTCGATTTTCGTTCAGACACCTCTAGACCCGAAGCTCTACAACGAACTACCTGACGTAGACGAACAACCAAAGTTGACAAACGACGTCCTCAAATCCATCGGCGACCTCTTCGTCAAATATGACATGCACAACTCTTTCGGCATTGCCTTGCTCCACCGGCATTACATAATGCAGAGCAACGAAATCATGGTTCATAAAGGGCTGATCTGCTCCCCCGAAAACACAACCGAATACCCCCTTGGCGATCTTGCCGGTCACAGCTTCTTTCTCCATGATGGCAAGTTTTTAGCATACGAGTTCGAGACCATCCCTGGCGATTCCCCCATTCCGAGTGAGGCGTTTTTGATTGAACTCAAAGAGCACATCCTTGCCGGCGGCCTCGAGCAAATGATTGCACTCACACGCGTCGATCCGAATGGTCAGCCCTTATTGGAAGAATGTGGCCCGGGCAGAAGCCACATCTGTGTCCCAGCTAATGATTCCTCCTGGTTCTCCGACCCCGCCGTGGACACTTTGCCAAGATCTGAAAAGGATGGCGCCACTCAGACTGGCCCTGGCTTGCTGCCTGATGCTACTATGATGGTCTGGAGACCCGTGGCAGACAGTGAAGTTGAGTCTGGCTCCTCGAAGCTGTCCGATGCTGCTATGCAGACGGCGTGGAGACCCGAGGGAAAGACTCCACTTAAGCTTGCCTCCTTGTTGCCTGATGCTACCGTGGACACGGTCTGGACACTCGAGAGAGACGACGGCTCTAAAGTCCAGCTCATCGTTCTGAAGAAATGCATACAGAAGCCGCTCGGGGCAGGGCACATCACTTACTGAATTATTTTCAAGTCTATGAATTGTACGATGCTGTTGTCGTTGTTTATCATCTCTTGGGGCTATTCCGGCTCAATTAGCGCCGTGCAATCAGAATGTGTGAACCAGAGGAACGGTGCCATGATCTGCTGCAAATTGGTCTGTTTGGAAGTTCTTGAATTAGTGCGGGTTTTTCGTTGAACTATTCGAGCGTTTCAACCAGAAATTTGTTAAAATGACGGCGGCTTTGATGGAAATACGGGGCCTTTTCAACAGACCTTGGGGCCTCCATGGCTCTAGCCACGAGTGACAGGCGGGGTCAGTCTGCCTCCACTTATACATTCAGACTGTTGGTGCTGTACTACCATGCATACGCGACGGACTAAGCATGTCAGTCACCACTGACTTTTCTTGGCCGCATGCATCGGCATACAGCGCACAAAAGCGATTTCTTATGCCCGCCTTCAGCCCTATTGAACGTGCAGGAACAACATTGTAATGGCGGACGCATCCATCCAGTCCGTGCCATGTATAGAGGACTGGAATACGGAGCTTATTGATAGATTCTTCGGTGTTTTAGACTCTATCACTCAACAGATGTGTATGGACTTCGCAAACCAAGTCCTCGACACCAACGATGTGAAGCTGGTAGACAGCCAAGGCGCTGGTTGGAGCTTCACCGTAATCTCGCATACGAAGGACAAGGTAGTCCAGTTCAAGCGTAATGCTTTGGATAAGCGCATGTTGGCACTGGCCAAGACTATTTACATGACTCTCACGCCAACAGTCACTCGGTGTGGTGTTGACTTTCCTTTGCCTGTTTACATCATCGACAAAGCCCTTGGAGTAGACTTCTCTACTCTGATTCCACCTCCAATGGATCAGCCCTTCCCCTTGGACAGATACCACAGAGGTGTAATCGACTTGGCCAGATTCATTGCTCGTTCGATATGCTTTCCCCAAGCAGCCAACGAGGCTGGACCTTGGACGAAGTCCGCTTCGCGCCATCTTGATACATTGATCAATGATAAAGACTTCTCTAAACTTGCTCCGGAGTTGGTAAGAATTGCGAAGAGAACCAAGCCTTACCTTCATCTTCTCGACACGCTCCCCCTAGTCCTCTCACATGCCGACTTGAGCGCTCTCAATGTTTTTGTGAGCGGTCTTTCCGGTGTTATAGATTGGGAGCATGCAAGCGTGGAAGCATTTGGTATGACCCTCTGCAGTGTCTACGAGATGTTCCTCAGTCAACGAGTTGGAAACAAGATCATTTTCCATGGCGAACTTGTTTCTGAATACAGAACGGTCAAAGAAGTGCTCGAAGAGGCATTTTGGAACGAGCTCTGGGCTTGCGTATCCGACGTCCTCGATCCAGGCGTAAGTGGACCTGCCGTACGCACAGCAATGATCGTAGGGGCATTCACTCGCTTCATGCCTTTGGAGAATCTCGAACACATGAGGAATACCGAGGAGGCGGACCCAGACAATGTTGAGGTTCTCGTTAGGCCGAGAGGCTTCATCACAGCTCTCCCACCCATCGTTTTGCCAGAATCTGGGCCGTAATTGTGGTAGAACGAGGGAAGATGAAGGCTCGATCTTCAGATACAGAATAGACTTGATTTCGTATCAAAGTGATGATTGCATGCCTTATTCTGAGCACCATGTCTGCCTTCTCGTACTGCTCGACCATCGCAGCCTCGACTGCATGGCGCATAGTGTCGTGTCCTTGGATCAGAGTCCGCAGCTGGATCACGAAGAGTGCTTGGAGAATCGCAGCAGCTAGTGTGTTCCTTCCTTCTTGGGGGCTATCGCTTGTGCTCCATGATTGATGCGTGACTGGGCCGGACTATACAAGCAGTGGCAAGAACCAGTCAAGCGGCAACAGGGAGCGTGAGCGCGGAAGAGCGACAATGGCGAGAAAACGTGCGTTCAGCGTGAGCGAAGACATATACACAAACAAAATCGGCAATGAAATTTTGCGCCTACCTCAAATCACGGTCTAGATGTATTTTATGCATGTTTTCCAGAGGGAGGATGCGCAAAGCAGGAGATAGAAGACATAGTGACTACTGTATTGATGCTGTAGCGCGCCTGCCCCGTTGCGACTCCGGCACAAGACTACGTTTTTGCACCCCTGCATTGTGTAAACGCCCGTCTACAACCTCGCTGCTGATCAATTCTGTCTTGCGCGAAAGTGCAGAAAATTGATCAGAATTTCTCCAAAGAACGATTCTACAATACAAGCACTGCGCCGTGAATGCATTGCGCACCGGGCTGAGTGTTTTGAACAGAAAAGCAAAAATTTTGGGGTATATTATATTTCTTTGCTCCAATGGCTATCACTCAAATGAGTTGTGGCACTTGCCGCCGTAGCTCAATCGGTAGAGCGTCAGTACTTTCCCAAGCACGAGAATTTCGACGCAGCGGCTAACTTCTGTTCAGGTGTGGCTCTTAAGTTGGCACTTCAGATCACCTCAAGGTCGTGGGTTCGAGCCCCACCGGCGGCTATTCCTATAAAAAGCTTTGAAAAGCTACATATTTTTTTTGGTATTTTTTGGTCGCTCACAGGATACTTCCATCTTCTCATTTGGCGTTTGCGCTGTACAGGCCCCCATTGTTTTGTATGAAGCTATGTTGGTTATTTATTACATCACTTTCTTAAGCACGGTGCAGAGCGAATACGAACGGTGACTGTACATCACAGCAGCGAGATCACCATTCAGTCTGCGATCAGTCTGCGAAAAGAGCAAAGAATTCATAAATTGTTCGTCACATAGTGCTTCTCTAGCCCATGCATAGCGCAGCTAAACAAGACTGGGCCGCTAATATTCACCCCTTATCGACACTCGAACGTGACCTGGCAGGTTATCTCATAAGCCACATCCTGCGGCATGGGACTAACATCGTCGTCTTCAACAGGAGCAGCCATCTTTCTCATTCTCACACCGCGGGGCGCCATGGCATTGCCGTACTGCGCCCGCATGCCATCATGCAAACTACTAATCTCAAGAGGCACGACCGTCTCCCTCCCCATCGCTTTCGCAAACGCATTAGCTTTCTCCACAGCAGCGG